GGTTTTATGAAAGGGAAGGGAGCCAAGAAATGGATAGGGAGGCAGAGGTGGGGAAGGAGATAAAAAAGGAATTAAGATGTGTTACATACGTGTACCAACTCCCCTCAATGAATATAATCATTCTGGGCTGTAAACATGCACTAATAAAAATTTAAAAGAATTAAAATGGATATGAATAGATAAGGAGGAAGTCAAACTATCCCAGATGATATGATCTTTTATATAGAGGATCCAAAAAACTCCACCAGGAGACTCATTCAGCAAAGTGGCAGCATACAAAACACAAAAAATAATAGTGTTCCTATACACCAAGAATGAATTCACCTAGAACAAAAAAAATCAAGAAAACAATCCCGTTCATGGTAACTTCAAAAAAATTAAATAACTAGAAATCAACCTAACCACGGAGGTGAATGAAAATGATAGTACTCTGAAAAAGTGATTGAAGAAGACATTAGAAAATGAAAAAATATCCCCTGTTCTTAGATGGGCAGTCTTAATTTTGGATATCATCAAAATGAACATATTACCAAAAATAATATATAGATTTAATGCAATTCCTATAAAAATAACAATATTCTTTACAAAACTAGAAAAGAATTCCAAAATTTATATGGAACTGATACAGGATCTCCAAATGATACCGGGGAAATAATATAATCCTTAACCTGCTAGATGTCAGATACTCCAAGTTTGTGTAATTCAGAATTGAAGAATGAATTCTAAGGAACATTGGAGGTTAAGAGCAGGAAATATTTATGGGAGCAGGAGAGATTTTAATTCCTGGGTGAGACAGGAGGGGACCCGAATGGGCTGCTGAGGACCCCACTTTACAGGGGAAGTTGTATAGAGTGAAATTGTGAGGTGGGTACAAAATTCACAAGGTAGGCATAACATAGGACCCAGCCAATAAGATTACAAGTATAGCTGCTTAGGTAATATTGATCTAATGGGGAAGCAGATCACTTAGCAAGTGTATGTGGAAAGAGCAAAGACCTTTATTAGGAAATGAAGGTCTTGGTCACCCAAAGGGGTGACTGATGTCCATCTAGACTTTATTAGGGCAGGTGTTACCACTTCTTTTCTCCTGGGAAAGTGTGTAGGTGCATTCATTTCATCATTATCTTGAGGCCTGGCCTCCAACAGAGGTGCCTCTGGCCATGGTTGTAATGTGTTTTTATCTTTTGCACTGACCCTCTTGAAGGCCCAGCCCTGTCTGATTGTCTATATTTTTACCTAACTTAGCTATCTATAATAAAACTAAAAGAGAACAAGACTATCTAAAGCAATCCTGAGCAAAAATAGCAAAGCAGGAAGCATTAGAATCCCAGATTTCAAGTTATACTATGAAGCTATAGTGATAAAAGCAGTCTGGTAAGGAAACAGCTAACTTAGTATAAACCATGTAAAATGGAGCGTGTTGCCTCATGAAGTTGAAGAATGAAGTCATGGAAAAAAGGAAGTTAGGAGAGTGTTTATTGGAAATAAGAACAAAAATAGTTTCTGGTTGGGAGGGATCCCAAGCAGGCTGGATGTAGCCCCTTAGTCTAGAACTTTTTATGGATAAGCAAAGCACAGGAATTTGCTCATTTGTTTAGTAGCCATATATCACAGGTAGCTCTATGCATTTAAAATGACCAACTGGAACTCAGACCCTCTAAACCAATTACTCAGCCTGCAGAGTTTAAAGGAAACCAATTTTAAAAGAAAACTAGTTATTCTGCATTCTTAAGTTCCTGGAAACTTAGCCCTGGATGCAGGGAGGGGTTGCATTCCATTTTGTCTGAGCAACTCCTTTCCTGGCCAAAGTCCTACTGCCTATTCTTATTTTAATTCTTATCAAGGGGATGACCACTCTACCTCAGGCCCTTTCTCTCACTAGCTGTCTATTCATGAGCTAACTAAACTCCCCTTTACAGTACTGGCACAAAAATAGACATGTAGACCAATATAATAGAACAGGAAACACAGAAACAACCCAATATAAAAGTTAAAAAAAAACCCCAATACACCTTTAGCCAAAGATTGAATACATATGCTAAAGAAACTAAACACGTATGCTGGAGAAAAGATAGCATCTTTAACCAATGGTGCTGGTAAAACTCGTTATCCATGGGCAGAAGAATAAAACTTGGTCCTATCTCTCATCGTGTACTAAAATCAAAATGGACCAAAGACTTAGATATAAAAACAGAAATACTGACTCCTAAAGATAAAATAAGATAAAATAAACTGAAGACATAGCCACAGGCAAGGATTTTATAAACAGAAGTTCAGTAGCACAAGAAATAATACCAAGAATCAACAAATGGGGCTACATCACATTAAAAAGCTTCTGCACAACAAAGGAAACAACCAATAGATTGAAGAGATAACTTATACAATGCAAATTTTTTTTCAACTACTTCTTGGACAGAGGACTAGTATCTAGAATATATAAAGAATTCAAAAAAATTAGACCCTCCTAAAACAAATGAACTAATCAAAAAAAAAAAAGGCAAATGAAATGAATAGATAATTCTCAAAATAAGTATAAATGACCAATAAGTACATGAAAAAAATATCCAGTGTTTCTGGCCATCAGGGAAGTACAAATCAAAACACTGAGATTTCATCTTACTCCAGAAAGAATGGCTATCAGCAAATAATCAAAACAAAACAGAAACAACACACAGCCTGTCAAGGATGTGAGAAAAAAGGAAATTTTTCTACATTGTTGGTAGGAATGTAAACTTGTAGAAGCAGTGTGGAAATCAGTATGGAAATTCCTCAGAAAACTAAAAATAGAAATTCCATTTCACCCAGCTATACCTCTCCTGGGTCTTTTCCTAAAAAAGTTAAAGACGTCATACTTTTTTAAAGTCTTTTTTAAAAATATTATTGGTACATTTTAGATACACATAATGATAACATCCATCATAGGGAATTTGTACCTGTACATGCTATAGACATCATACTTTAGTGATACATGCATGCCCATATTTAGAGCAGCACAATTTATAAGTGTACCTCAGTTCATGAACTTAATTATTTCCACAATTCTGGTTGTAAACTAAATTGGACAAACCTAATCAAATTTCCCTATAAAGTCAACATTGAACCTAACCATCAAATTTGATTTAGCTCTCCTCCAATTTGGTTTGTGACTAGACTCCTGGAAAGAATTAAGTTCATGAACCGAGGTACCACTCTTAATAGCTAAATCTTGGAAGCAACAGAGGCCCATCAAAAATGAAAAGATAAAGAAAATGTGGTGTATATGTATATACTTCTCAGCTTTAAAGAAGGATAAATGAGTCATTTCTAGGAAAATGGGTGACCCTTGAATCCATAGTGCTAAGTAAAATAAATCAGACACCAAAGGTTAAATATCACATGGTTTCTCTTACATGAGAAATCCAGAATATAAATAAATTATAGAGTAACATAAAGGAGAGATGGTAGAAAATAAGGAGGTGGACTTTTTGGAGATGGCTGAGGAGATAAGGGAAAAGGAGAAGGAAGGGGGAGAAAGGTGATCAAAAGTGATCAAGATGTAATTATGCATCATAAACATATACCAATAAAATGATATAAAATAATAATAAAAAGATCTAGGTCTTTGTATTGCTCTTCAGAATAATGTCCTGGAGTGTATGTAAGAGCTTGTTAGCCAGGTGGTGGGGTGTGGGCTGTGGATTGGTTGGTTTGCATATGCAAATCAGGCTCTGGAGCTAATCCTTCATCATCTCTAGGAATCTCTAGCTCTGGGAGGTACAGTCTCTCCAGGATCAGCATTATCCCACATGGCAAAGAATCCAAAGTATAGGAAATAAAAAGTCAAGATGAATATGGTGGCCACCCTTGAAAAATGATACACATGTCCCTTTTATCCATAAACATCTGATAAAGGCAAGCAGAGATGTTTTCTTTCTCTGCTTTCTTTAGTCTCTACACCTGTGGGTAAGTAATAATTACAGCTAAAATTAATTAGGTTCTTTCTGGGGGTCTGGCACTACCCTAAGAATTTTACATGCATAAGCCCACTTAGTGTCCACAACTCCCCATGCAGTGGGTACTGTTGCATCCTTGTTTCATAGATGAGGAAGCAGGAGCGTGGTGAAATCACATAACTCAGTCAACATCAAGTACAGCTATAACACCATGCTCTTATTCTCTGTGCTATGCTGTCTCCCGCTATTCCTATTACTTGTCTGTCACTCTTTTGTTCAGGTGCCAAGTAGTAGTTCTCCTCTGTAGATGTCCAGATCTATCCACTATATAAACCCTGGAGGAATCGATCAGTAAAGCTTCTCCCACCCTTTCTTTCATTTGAGCAGCCTGATAAGTTGCACAGTATATAAGTATAAGTTGATAGTGAGAGCTGTCCCAAGGGAGGGAGCACTGTTTATGGCTTCCTGTTCTTTGTTTGACATTCTCTGAGAGCAGGACCCTGGGAAGAAAGAAACATATCACCCTGCAAATGGTTAATTCTGTTTTGTGGCATTTGTGTTTTCCCTGGTCTGGGTTCCACCAATGCTTGCTTTGTGGGAGATTGTCCTTTGGAAGGGGTATGTGAGACATATGTCCTGCTGTTTGGAAATCCAAGCAGCTGAGCAGAATTTACTCCAGCTGAGGATGTTACTGGCAGAGATGTAGCTGGGATTGCAGGCATGAGGCTATACAGGGCTCATTGTATCACATTTCTTTCCTGCTAAATTTTTTTAAAACAACTCTGTCCCTCTTGCATAGTATTAAATTGATCTCTAAAGTGGCCTCAGAGGTTGAACAAATTACAGATGCTAAAAAAAAAGTACAAATGCTCCTCCACATACAATGAGATTACATCCCGATAAATGCTTTGTAAGTCAAAAACCATCTATCTATTTTTCTTAGATGGAATGTTGGGTGTTAGGTTGAACTGGGTAATAGTGTTCATGTAGGGATGTTAAAAATGTACACTTAGAATTACTAATGTCCAGGCTTTCCTGACCATCTCCTCTGCTTTGTCTTTCCTCCAGCTTGCCACCAGTCGTGTTTAGGGTGTGCAGGGAAGAACCCCCATGACTGCACTGCCTGCCACCCTTCCCACATGCTGCTGGACGGGCAGTGCCTCTCCCAGTGCCCAGAGGGCTACTTCAACCAGGAAGGGGGCTGCACAGGTGAGTATGTGCCCTGCTAGGGCCGAGGCCCAATGCCCAGGCTTTACCTTCTCAGTGCCACCAGATATCTGATCAGAAACTGTGCCATCCCAGGATGAGGGTAAGGCTGCTTTAAGTTTGCAGGCAAAGAGGATAGAATGAGGGAAACAAGAGAAATCCTGTACTTCCAATAGGGAAGCAGGTCTAAGTGAACGTTAGAAGCAGCTTTATCCTAGAGACTATAGTATTTGAATAAACTCTGAACTGGGTTTTTTCTTGCCTGGAAGACCATCATCTGGATAGACAATTCCTCTCACGAATTCAATAGTGATTCCTTTGTCCTGTAAGAACCCAAGCTCGGTTCAGCGTAACTTTTTGTTGGTATGGCTCTCTTTAAAAGCTTGTGTTTCTGATTATTAAAGGAATATGTGCTCTTTCTAGCAAGTTTGAAAGTTTAGAATAGGGCAAAAAAAGAAAGGTTTGAGGATGGGAATCGGTGATAATTCCACATTTCAAAAGCAACAGTTTTAACCTGGTAAAATAATACTTTTTGATCTACCTTTTAGTAGTGCTGTTACATAGCTGAGAAAAAAATTAGTGCTATATCTTTTTACATTTATTTTCACCCAAACATTAAGTCATAAAAGTTCTCATATTATGAAAAAGTATATGTAAAAATACTCCCCATTCCTTTTCACATACAAAATCGAGGACTAACTTGGAATTTGTGGATTGAAATACTCCAGGATGCTAAGGACCTGTTTTATTCATGGGGTTCTGCTCTGGTTATCTATTGTCACTCCAGATTAGTGCCTTAGAACAACACAAATTTAGTGGTTTATACCAATAATTGATTATTTTCCAGCTCTGAGGATTGATGGGCTCAGCTGCTTGGCTCTCTTAGGAGCCTGTAGATGGCATCTTCATTGATGTATCGGTCACCTGGGTCAGTCAGGAATCACTTATTCTGTGAGGCCTCTTCTGTGGCTAATTGAGTGTCCTCACAGCATGGCTGTGTCTGCTCCCCAGCTTCCATGTAGTTCAGCTGTCTCCCTCCACCCCAGTAAATAAATACTCAGGAGGCCAAGGAGAAGCTGCCTCAGGACCTACCCTCAGAAGTCTTGCAGTTACTTCTGCTGTGTTCTGTCCATCATAGCAGGACAGCCTAATCTTGAAGGAATGGTTCCATCTTCCAGTGGGGACAGTGCTTCTGAACACAGGACCTAGGGCATCTTGGAGACACCACTGAAGTTGTGAATGAATGAGGGTATGACTCAGCACTGGGCACATGTGGCAGTGCGGGTCTCTGCTTCCCTTCCACTGCTGAGAGCAGCAAGAGGCCCAGGGGATATTTCCTTCTTTAACAGCCTGTGCACATGGTCAGAGCACCTTTATGTTGCAGTGACAGAGATTCTAAAAATTAGGACTTTAGATTAGTGCAGGATTTTATTGGGATTGGCAAAATACTAAAATTTAAGCTCCTTCTTGTAGTGCTGTATATTCTTATAGCTAGAGAACAGGAAAAAAAAAGACAAAACATGTTCTATCATGAGTCTTATTTTTATTTCCAAGAATAGACAGTTGAGGCCAGCTGATAGGATGCTCCTTGTGATGAAATTGTATTACAGGTATTTCTGGAGTCAGAAAACATGTAGTAAATTTATAGAAAATTTTAAAGTAAATTAGTATTCATTAGTTTCATTAAATGCCAAGGAGGAAATTTAGAGCCAACATAAATTTAGACAATTGAAGATCAGTATTATTTTTATTCTGGAATTCTCTTCTTTCCCCCAAATACCTGTGACTCTCTCCAGGCCCCTAGTGAGCTGCTTTAGCTTAAATGCTCTATCAATGCTCCTAGTTTCATTGTCCTTGAAAACCTGCTTTCATCCTACCCAAGTGGTTTCTATGAGTGTGAAAGAATTTAACTCTAACTCTTCTCCATCCCCATGAAGCTGGCAGATGGGTGGCACCCCCAGTGGGGGGCACTCAGGTCACTGGAAATAGTCTGGTGGGGAGGAAGAAGTGGGTGGTAGAACTTATCCCAGGACGCTCATATCTCTGGGTAGGAATTTTTAAAGTCAAGAGCCTCAGGAATGTGTCCGTTGATAGTGGGTGCTATCCTTCTAATCAGCAATGCCTTTTCTTGCTTGCTTGCTTTTTTTTTTTTAATAACCGCTTATCTTCTCCTGGCCTCCTGCCAGAAGCAAGAGGCAGTTGACTTTACTCAAAATCTCTGCCTTTGCTCTGCACCAGCTGCGTGCCAGGAGAGAATTCATCAGTTGTGCGGCTCCAGCCTCTCATCCCCCACCTCTTGGAATCCAACACCCTCAGCCCTGCTCATCCTTGGCACAGAAATTCTGGCTTCTTTGGCAAGTTCTGCTGCCCACCTTGGCAGCTTATTCGGCCTGGCTGTGACATGCTTTGATTCTGTGCCACCCTTATCTTTATTGCCTGCACCTTACTGAGGCTCACCTGGGTTTTCCCAGTGTGTTACCCCTTATTAATTTGGTGTTGATGTGGAAGGAGACATAGCTTTGACATAATTTTTCGTAAGGAATTGAACTTCAGATGTGACTCATGGTAACCTCCAGAAAGGGGACTTCTTCTGTTCTTCAAATTTTAATTTTGTACTGTAGATAAAACAGGCATCCAAGCTGTAGCTAGCTCATCTCAGTGTCACTTGCTGTTACGGTTTGGTTCTCCCCTGTCTGCAGGAATTTCTGAGAAGGAAAATGTCCCCTTCTACTCCCTGTCCCGCTATCTCTTTGCATGGTGTTTTGCAATGGTGGAGCCTTACCACTCGTGTTTGTGCTTTGGACTCTGTCTTGAACTTTTTTACTTACGCAGATGGGGTGGTTATTCTGATCCTCAGGAATGTGTGGATCACTACTCCCATTTTTACAGTTTTAGATTCCATATTGTTTGTGAACAGTGTTCTCACTGATACCAGAAATTCAGTCTGTTGGCCAAGTCTAAGGAAGTGCAAAGCTTGCTCAGCCATCTCCAAAAAATGATTAGAACCTGGTGCTTATGACATGCACTTGTACCCATGCTATTTGGGAGGCCAAGGCAGGAAGATTCCAAGTTTGAAACCAGCCTGGACAACTTAGCGAGACCTTACCTCAAATAAATTAAAAAAGGAACTGGAGATACAGCTCAGCAGTAGAGCACTTGCCAAGCACATGTGAGACCCTGGGTTCAATCACCAACACCACAAACAAATAAATAAGTAAATTTTAAAAAAATAATTAGTTTGAGCTTTGTGGAAAATGTTTACTACTTTTTGCATTTGTGTGCTGAGCGGCTGGTTCTAATCCTGATCCTTACTTCCCTCAGAATGCCACCCAACCTGTAGGCAGTGCCGTGGACCATTGGAATCTGACTGTACCTCCTGTCACCCTCACATCACTCTGACCAGTGGGGGCTGCAAGACCAGCTGCAAGGAGGAACAGTTCCTCAACCTCGTGGGGTACTGCATGGGTGAGTGAGACCTCTCATTCTGGGGGACCACAGGACTGCTGCTGGGGCTCTGTACCACAGGATCAGGGGGACTGTGGCACTTGTTCTTTGGATGCAGATTAGGATCCTTGTTTATGGGAGACATTTGTCTCCTGTCTGGGAACTCACCTCACTCTTGCCTTTAGTTAGACTATTTGTGGATTTGAATCAAACTTCTAAGACTACTCTTGCAAGTCCTGGAAGAACTTAGAGTCTCATGTAAATAAAGAATGAAATGATTATAGTATCTGTCTCTGCATTTGTCAACTTCATGCTCAGAGAGCAAAAATGTATTTTCAAATCAATCACTCCAAAGATGATCTTCTTCTGTCTGTGGTATCTCTGGCCCCTTGCTGTGGAGAGCTTTTCCATTAGCCCAGCTGTGGAAGTTTAGGGAAATTAGCCAAAAAGTAGAACAGTTGCCTTAGGAGATAGGCTATTCCCCCCTTATTGTAAAATTCAGATTTTTTTTAAACCACAAACTGGGACCTGGTAGGATGGATGCTGGAGGTGGTGACCTGACTGGAGGGCTTGTCCTCTGACAGGAGGGGATTGTGGCCAGTGCTCTAAATGATGGTATCTAGCAGGGACATTCAGTCTGGGTTGGCACTGATACCAGAGTGTTCCAGCTTTGGGAGGGTGGGGAGTAGTAAGTCAATGGCTATGTTCTGGATACGGCCAATGGTACCATTCCTGGGTGATCCATTCCTTTGTGTACAAGATCTTAAGACCAGACATTGAGGATCACACTCTATGCCCTAATAAGAATGAAAACTGTCAAATGCAGGGCTGCAGCTGAAAATTGCTAGATTCAGAGCAAAAGCCCAATGATGAAAACTGCAGGAACATTCTAGAGGCAACAAAAAGTAGAATCTCAGGGTCCAGGCTTAAGGCTAAATCAAAAACACCACCAGCTGGAGGATCTGAGTCTGTTTACTGGTGTTGCCAGTCAGCGCTGTCTGGGAAGTGGGTAAATGAGAGATATTAGCACCTACCCCAGAGGAGAAGCTGGCAATGGCAGGGACTATTATTACAGTTTATGAGCTTGATTTTAGTTACTGAAACTAACTTTAGGATTCCAGGAGCAGCTACTATAAGAACTAAAGGGTTCCTGACATGGAGTGTTAGTCAGCTTCGTGTTACAACAATGGAATATCTGAGACAGCTAACTTACAAAAGGAAAATGTTTAGCTCAGTTTGCCAGGCTCGAAAGCATGGCACTAGCTTCAGGTCAGTTCTGGTGAGGGCCTTCTCTCAGCTCCATTGTATCATGGCAGGTGTGTGTGTGTATTAAGCAGGAAGAAAGAGAGAGAGCCCAGAATCTCACAATCCCCTCCAAAGGTCGGCCCCCAATTACCTAAGCACCTCCAACTAGGCCCCACTCTCAAAGTTTCCACCATCTCCCAGTAGCACCTCACCACAGACCAAGCTTTAATAACAGCAGACCCTTTGAGGACCCAAAACATACTCAAATCATAGCAAATGACCAAAGCACATTTGTGGGCATTTTACTGAGAACCCAGTGATTACAAGTTACTGAGTTGATATTTGGGGGGCCACAAAAATCTTTCAAGCTACCTGAGGAGATTAACCGAAGGCACAATTAACAAGAGTATGAATTAATTAAGGAGTACGAAGCAATTCATGTGCAGTGACACTCATAAACAGTCAAAGATGTAGGATTTCAGCAGGGGAAGAAGTAACAAGATAGGAAAAATATCACGGAGGAGTTGGAACCTAAAATGTTTCCAGAAGAATCACATGGATTTGGTTGGACAGAGGGTACTCAGGCAGATTGTCCAAATGTGGTTCACCAAGAGCCAAGCCCATAAGGTAATGGATGTAGGTCGTTTATAGCCAGGGAGTCCTCCAACAGAGTGAAGAACATGGTTGGTATTGAAGCATATTAGATGAAATGGTTGGGACATTTAAGTTGAAACCAGAGTATTAGAGAATCTCAGGTTTCAGGCCAAAAAGTTTGGACTGGATCTTGCAGGCAGCAGGGCTATGAGCATTCTGGAGAGAACTGTAAGTTGACTCAGTGTGTTATAGGCAGGAATTCTTTGAGCTGTGTAGAAAATGGACGAGAGCAAGGAAGGGTTACCATCAGGAAGTATGAGAAGGTAGGACCTAAACTACATCCTTCATGATGGCTATTCTATTTCCAACTTACTCTGGACCCTATTTTGTGGACCCTAAAAATTTCACACTGGGACATATTTTATAAATAAATGTTTATATAAGGAGATTGGAAACTTTTAATTTTTAATGAGCTCTGTTCTCTCCAATGTCCAGAGCACTCTTTGATAGTAAATTAGGTGATTAGGAGTTGCATTAATTTTTTAAGACTAATAAGGGATTATTAGAATAGAGAATCATGGGGCTGAGTTAAATGACTGAAAGTCCCCAGTCTTAGAAGAGCAAGTCCCAGTAAAATGAGCTAGACAGAACAACCCTTGGCTGCCCTGGGAATTAGGTGTTTTATATCATGTTTTTAAATAAGGTAACCATAATCTAGCACTTGAAAATCCTTTGTTTAGTAAAGATTGGTATAAGAGCATTTTTAATGGAGAAGTTTGACTAGTAATTTCAGTTGTTGAGCTTTCAGAGATGTTGACCCAGAAGTTTACTTTCTCACTGAAGGTACTGTATGCCTTTTCTAAACAATTCACATTTGTCTGTAGCATTGCAACACATTCATTCATTTACTGATTCATCAATCACTAAACTCAAGCTTTGTGCCAGGCTGAGCAATGTTCTGGACTCTAGGGATACAAAGATGAATAAAATGTGGGGCTTACACTGAAGAAATGTAGTTGAGTGAAGGAAGGAATATTAGTCTATTAGAGCTGTCATAAGAAAACACCACAAATTGGGTGGTTTAAACAACAGAAATGTATTTTGTCAGAATCCTAGAGGGCACAAGTCCAAGATTAAGGTGCCAGCAGCATTGGCATCCTCTGATGCCCCTCTACTGGGTGTGTAGATGGTCACCCCTTGGCTTCCGCTTCACACAATCATCTTTCTTCTCTGTTTCTAAGTATACCACCCAGGATGGATTTAGCCCACTTCTTAGCCCCAATATGACACAGCCCTTTAAAGGCCCTGTATCCAGCCAAGTGGAATTTGGAGGTACTGAACATGAGGGCCTCAGCAAATGAATTGGCAGGGGGACAGTTCAGCCCACACCAGAAGGGCAGACATGATTAGCATGATGTTGATACAGTTCTCTATGCACAGCACAGTGTCCAAAGGCAAGCCTGTGGCATGGGACCCAACCCAGACTAGAAGGTGGAGCTGTCACAACTGAGATAATTGTGAAAGAGGTGTGAGAGTTAGACAGAGGGGTGAGGAGATTTGAAGGATAGAGGAATCCAACAATCCCAAAGAGGATGATGATTCAATCACCCATAGAGACTTAAATAGAGTGTCAGAGCATCAGCCCTGGGTATCAGAATGGTGGAACTTGTGGGGAGAGGAAGCAGGGCTGGAGCAGGAAGACTTTGTACACTCAGTTTAGGATGAACATGCATTGTCTTCAAGGTTGTAGAGCTCTGCCAAAGGTGTTTAAGCAGGGACTGTCACAGTCACATTTCTGTGATGAGAAAGATTGGCAGAAAATGGCTTAGAAGGAGATGAGACTAGGGCAGAAAGACCTTCAGGAGGGAGCTGCAGGAATCTGGAGGGGAGATGAAGGATTTTAATGAGGGAGTTGCTAAGGAAATGGAGGAAAGAGGTCTTGGCTTCACTAGGTACAAATGATACTCAGGCTTACCTGTGTATGATTAAAAGGTGATCAAAGAGTGGTAATTTCTGAGAAATGTCTGTTCATTTCAGATGCCCATTTTTGAATTGGGTCTTTGAATTTGGGGGGTCTGATTTTTTTCAATTCTTTATATATTCTAGATAGTAGTCCTTTGTCTGAGGTACAGCTGCTAAAATTTTTTTCCCATATTGTAGGTTGTCTGTTAGCTCTGTTGGTGGTTTCTTTTGCAGTGCAGAAGCTTTTTAATAAGATGAGATCCCAGTTGCCGATTCTTTCTGCTAGTTCCCGTGATGCTGAGGTTTTGTTCATGAAGTCTTTTCCTATGCCAATGTCTTCAAGAGTTCTACCTAACTTATCTTCCAGCAAGTTTAGTGTTTCTGCCTTAATATTTAGATCTTTAATCCACTTCAATCTTAGTTTAGTGCATGGTGATAGGTATGGGTCTAGTTTTAATCTTTGGCAGGTTGAGATCCAGTTTTTCCAACACCATTTATTAAATAGGCTATCTTTCCTCCAATGATGGTGATTGGCTCCTTTGTCAAAGATGAGGTAGCTGAGCATGTTTGGAGTTGTTTCTGGATCTTCTAATCTATTCCACTGATCCTCAGGTCTGTTTCTTTGCCAGTACCATGCTGTTTTTATCACAGTAGCTTTGTAGTATAGTTTCAAGTTGGGGATTGTGATACCCCCAGCCATGTCTCTGTTGCTTAGAATTGCTTTAGCTATTCTAGGTCTCTTAGGTTCCAAGTGAATTTTTGATTGTTTTCTCTAGTTCTGTGAAGTATATTGTTGGAATTTCAATTGGCATTGCATTGAATCTATATAGTAGTTTTGGAAGTATGGCCATTTTCACTATATTGGTTCTTCCTACCCAGGAGCAAGGGATCTCTTTCCATTTTCTTATATCCTCTTCGATCTCTTTTTTCAGAGTGCTGTAGTTTTCAGTGTAGAGGTCTTTTGCTTCCTTTGTTAGATTGATTCCTAGATATTTCATTTTTTTGGATGCTATTGTAAATGGAATTGTTTCCCTAATTTCTCTCTCAGTGATTCTGTTATTTGTGTACAAGAAGTCTATTGTGTTTTGAGTGTTGACCTTGTATCCAGCTACTCTACTGAATCTGTTGATTAAGTCTAGAAGTCTTCTGGTAGAGTTTTTTGGGTCTTCTATATAAAGTATCATATCATCAGCAAATAATGACAGTTTAACTTCTTCTTT